AATTGAAAGAAAAGTTTTAACTGGTTCAAAGCACATTTTGAATTGCAGTAAAATATTACTTCCAAGTATCACTGCAACTACCAAACTTTTACAAACTTTTTTTCCAATATAAAGCAATGATGAAAAAATTACTGCAGCTCACTTCTGCACTTCCCGCAATCATAATGACGGCTTTTGTTTTAATTTTTCAAGCTTTTTTCAAAATAATTAAGCGACACTTTACCGCGCTCATCCTCTACTTTGACCCAATGGTCATCAGCGACTATTCGGCGGCGTTTTTCAGTCGGGACAAAAATGACAGCAACAACAGCAACAATTTTTCTAGCAATGCCCTTTGCACCCGACAACCGTGGTGGCAGCTGAGCAGCAGCAGCAGCAGCAGCCGTGTTTACCTCTTTCCACTGATCACCATCATCAGCACGGCACTGTACGGCAATCTGCTCATCGTTTGCTATGAATCGGCGGAGTTTTCAGCAGAGGACAACTCCAACAAGTGCAATCTGACGGTGGCCTTTCTGCAGCGCTCTCCCGTGGTGATGCTCCATCAGATGCTGCCTCAGGTTATGTGGTCGCAGATGGACGTCGTGTACAGTCTGGGCATTCTCACGGTGGTCATCAACTACGCCACCTTCCTCAAGCAGCCGTACACCGCCGGAAGGTATGAGCTGGTGAAAACGAGAAGAAAGGCATCATCATCCACTTCATCGATTTCGGTGTTGAGCATTTCAGGAAAGGGTAAAGTTAAAAGCATTTCAATTTTTTCTGTTTGTTTGTTTGTTGCATAAGATTCCTTTTTTTCAAACTGCTCTCAGAACTTTCAGCAAAGCTCTCTGCTACTATCATCTCTTCCTATCGCCTGCTTTACAAGTGGGTCACCCGTTTTCTTCAGCTCACCTTCTCCTTCATCGTCCTCTTCGGCTATTTTAACGCCTTCTTCGTGAACGCCCACTTTTCCTGGGCCTCGCCGCTGGTGCTGGCACTCTGGCTGGTCGTCTTTCCGCTGCACATCTTCTACCTGTTTTACGGTTTTTTCGCCGTTCCTAGTGCGGTCATTCTGGCGACGGAGATCATCAGCCTAAGGCAGCGGTATCTGCTGCGGAAGTTCTCCAGCCTGTGCTGCCTAAAACAACAAAAATCTTTTGCCATTCAAAAGTTTTCCTGGGCTCGGTACCTCGGTCTTCAGCGGCAGCTGGCGAGTCTGGCGGTAGACATTAAGCGGTGCTCCGACTTTTGGACGGCCAATTTGAGCGCCTACTTCTTCGGCTTTCTGCTCATTCAGGCCTACCAGGCGTACACTGTTCTCTTCAGCGCCGACCTGCCGCCCGTCTCGCAGATCTTCTTCACGTACATTCTCATTGCCACGGAGACCTTCCAGTACCTGCTGATCCACCAGTGCGCCAAGGTTGCTAGCGGAAATGGGCGGCTGGAACGGGTGAACGCCCGCTTTTATTCGCTCCACTTTTGCGTCGGTTTTGTCCATTTTCCAGGGCAAGTGACTGCTTTTAAGCGGAGGCAAACTGATAAGCGGGTCATCCTGAAGGCGGCTGCTTTTCAGGCCTTTCAGCGACTGCGACCGTACGCGTTGCACCTGCTCGATGACTACCGAATTACTAGTAAAACTTTCTACTTGGTGCTCATCTACTCGGTGCTCTTCTTTATGATGGTTTTCAAGCGGCAAAATGAATAAATATCATTAGTAGCAAATTTTGTACATTTGTCAAAAGTTATAATAGAAATAGCTTTATATTTGGAAATTTGTTTATTAAACGATTGTGTAAAAAAGTTGATAAAAATTTACTTTTGGTTACATTTGTTTTGAGCAATACATTGTAATTTGAGACATTATTTGCTGGAAAATTGTTGTTGTTACATTTTTTGTGAAAATAATGCTCGTTTCAATTTAACAATAAGCTCAAAATTATTTGAATAAAATTTTTGTTTTTAAAAACAGTGTTGAAATAACATGGGCATTGATGTGCCAAAAAATAATATAAAGTAAAAATTGTACAAAACATGTTTAATAAAAAATTGTTGTTTATCTTTTATTCATCTGCATCTTCACGCTTGATGTTTAACTGTAAAAAATATGTTTTGTTATTTATCAAGACATAATAATTTTTTAAAATTAACAAATCATTTACCGCTGATTTTTCTTTTTGCTGTTTTTGCCTTTAGGTTTCTTAGCTTTCACCTGCTGAACAGCAGGCTCCTTGGGAGTGGGCTCACCTTCCTGAGGTTTTGCTGAGGCCACTTGGTGATCAGGCTCGACGCTTTTAGCCTTGTCATTCATGGCTTTGCGGCACCGTTGGCACATCTTTTTGGCAGCACATTTAGGGCACCCTTTTCGGCGGCCGTCCATCTTTGTAGAAGAAGATGCACAAAAAATTGACGTTTGAAATTTGTATGTAAACAAGGTAAAACGGTGGACAGTTTGGCGACTAAAAAGAGTTGTAGAGCAATACTATTCTAAAGGGAGAACAAGAAAAAATCCGTTCAAATGCCCTCTGTACAATCAGTGTGCTGGCAAAATGAGCTTCTTCTTCTTCTTCTTCTGCCACTCGAATTGTTTTCAAAAAAGAGAGTTGTGTGAGTGAGCAGACGGATTTAAATTAGTTGGTCGAGGAAAAAGACAAAATGAGGACCGAGCAGACTGTTGCCGAATCTTTTATATTGGGGCGGCAGCAGCAGCAGCAACAGGGGTTGTTTTGTCCGTTGTCTGGACACGCCAAAAACAGACTGTTGGTAGTGTTAATTGAGCGGAAAAAGTAATTAAAATATTAAAAAAAGTAAAAAAGTTAAGCTGAAGGTGTTAATATTCACTGTAAAATATTTTTTTACAAACTGCCATGGACAAAGGGAAGAGCCGGTTAATAGGGCTCTGATGAACTAGGAAATGAAATTTTGCGTGACACACAAACAAACACCTGCAACCTGCAAAAAGGAAAATTTTTGTGGTACTGTTGCTACTATTTTGACAGTTTGGATAACACCAGTTTTACTGTAACAAAACTTGGTGTCAGGTAAACTCTCTAATGCACAGAATCAAGTCCCCAAAAAAAGCAAAATTCTACAAAGTTTTTAAACAATTTTATTAGTGAAAAACAAATCAATTACAAATAATAGTCAATTTTAAAAAGTAAAAAATGTGTTTAGTGAGCTAAAAATTAAATCAAGTTTTTGTGCTTTTATCAAATATTTTGTTTATTTTTAGTTATAGATGAAAGCGCAGAAACTTGCTCTAATTTTTAATCTTTTTTGTTGCTGATTGATGTTGATGTTAATTGCAAAACAACCAAATATCAATTTGAATATTTTTGTTTAGCTCTTTTATATTGCTAACTAAAACAAAAATTCAAACTGATATTCAGTGCATAATTGGAACTTCATAAAGTAATTGATAAAATTCAAAATAAATTAAAAGTAGCAGCTAACTAAAATCTCAATCTCATTGACTCGCAAATATACAACTTGCCAGACTAGAGCAAAGTTTGCAAAGTACAATGGGATCAAAATTTTAAAGTTTGCTCAATCAAATTAAATTTTTTTAAAAAGGAAAAAGTTAAAGTCAACATTTGCGACGACTGTCATGGCTGAGTGTCCGATCACTTCTGAAAAACAATTTGAACTAACATGAAGAACTCTGAAGAATATTCTTCTATAAATGTAAAGGTATTTGTGCTGAAAAGAATTGTCAGTTGTAGTTCGTACATCTACGCCAGTGTTCACCACTACCACCGTTATCATCATCATCGTTGTTTGTGGTTACTGCGTCAAGCCAGCGTAACCTTTTTTGTTTGTTTTTCTTCTTCCTTCCTAACCTCAACCAACCAGTTGTTCCCTAGAACAATTTCATTTGTCCTGTCCAATTTCATTTGTCAAGCTAATGGAGGTGCTGTCAAATTATCTTGAGAAACACACACACAAATGTACCGCAATTTCACTTTTTAAACTGTAAAATTAATAAAAGAATAAATGTTTTTTAGTTATTTTATTGATTAACTTTTTTTTAAAATTAAAAGATCAAAAACTTTTACAACAACAAAATTATTAAATTTTTACAATAATTTAAACTGATGACTATTCAGTGCTAGATTATTTTAATTAATTTAATTCACATTACTTTCTATTAGTTTTTTGCACAACGGACAATTTTTGAAAACTGTTTGTTAATAATCTTAAAGAATTAAAACAGTTAAAACACATTTAAATGATTTATATGAAAAAATCATTTTTTAAATGTTTAAAAGTTGCCACTTTGTAGCATCTTTTAGATTGCAAGTGCCATTGTCTTAACAACAAAATTGAAAACACGATGAACAGCCCTTTCATTACAGTTACTTGGTGCTTGGAACTGGAACTGCTGATGAACCAGTTTGTGGCGTTGGTAAAAAATGGCTACAGTAGCAAAATGCACTTTTTGATGTTTAGTAGTACTAGTAGAAAAAATTAAATACAACTAACAAAATAGTATTTAAAAAGATTCATTTTGTATTGCACACTACAAATTGAAAGGTTAAACAGTTTAGTTTTACAATTTGTTACCAAGTGATTTAAACCAAAAAAACTAATTGCAAATAAATGAACAAACAACTAGTAAGTTTTTTTATTTTAATCAACTAAAGGTACAAACACACAGTTTTAAATAATGAGAAAAATAGTGATTGAAAATACATTTGCCGCCTTGTGTTGTTATAAAAAAAGTAATTAAAATATTGTTTGTGTTCAAAATAAAAAATTAAATTGTTTGCAGTAATAATAACAATAAGTTAAACATTGACAACTTTTAAAAGTTAAAAAAGGGAAGAAACAAAAAGTATTATAAATTAAAAACAAAAAATGTAATAAATTAAAAAAAGTACGTGTAAAAACTGGAAAAGGGATTAAACAAACTTTAGATTTGTGTTTATGGAAAAAAAGTGGAAAAATGCAGAATTGTGTGGGCAAACAGGTGGGAAAAATGACAGTGCTTTAAATTGTGTTTCATTTAGCGTCCATTTTTTTCAGAAGAGTCCTCCTCGACTGAGCATCATCAGCGCATTAGCCGCCTCTGTCTCCTCGTGGCCGACGACGCACATTGGAATTGCTGGCTGAACTTCATGGCTGCCCCCACAGCTTTCACTGTCCTCGTTGTTCTCCATGCTGCAATCAACAGTAGAGCTGAACTCCTGCTGTTCGTTCTGCTCCAGTTGGGGGATAAAAGTCTCCAATTCCCAACGGGCCGATCCCCAAGCTGACACTGAGTTTCTGTAGGCATTCTTCAGCTTTACCTTAAAGTGCTGTCCTTCTGAGCTGCAGCTGCTGCCGCCGCCGTTGGAATAGCTGCCATTGCCCAAGTTGTTATTGCTGCTGCTGCTGCTGCTGCTGTTGAGAGCGGAAAACTGCTGCAGATAGTTGCTGAGAAGGTTGCAGTGAGAACTGTTGCGATAGGCGTCCATGTTCTCCAGACAGCCAAGGTGCTCCTCCTCTTTGCTCTCCTCTTTAATGCCCTTTGCTGAGAAGGCGGTAATCTCCTCCTTGACGACCCCATCCAGGTCATCATCATCAGCATCAGCATCAGCATCATCCGGCGACTGATCGTCCATCTCGCGGATGATGCCATCCACCCTCTCGGCGATGCTTTCGGAGTCACTCTCGGAGTCACCCTCGGAGTTCTCAAACTGCCCGAAGCCACTGTCGGCCTCCTCGTTGTTCTCCTCCTTCTCGCTGACTTCTTTTTCCTCCTCCTCCTCCTCCTCCTTCTTCTCCTTTTCACCATTCTTCATCACCTGTTCATCACCTTGTTTAGCCATCTCATCGTCCCCCTTCTTCTCATCCTTGACATCGTTTGTTGTCTCCTTCTGTTCACCCTTCTTTTCCTCCTCCTCCTCCTCCCTCTTGGGCGGATCGGTCATGACGCAGTGGTGCCGCGGGTGGCGGATGAGGTGGCGCAGCAGCTGCAGGTCGGCGGCGAAGAAGGCGCTGCGGCAGTTGGTGCAGCTGTACCAGAGCATCTGCCGCTTCAGCCGCCGGCGGAGGGCGTCGCTGTAGTAGAGCAGGTCGATGTGCTCCACGCCGGGCGCCACGAAGACCTGGTAGCGGCGGGCGGCGTCCAGCCGGGGCACCAGCTGCCAGGCGTCCTTGTTATTGCCAGAGCCTCCTTTGCCCATCACCTCATTGGCCAGGGCGACCTGCACCAGCCGGTTGAGGTACACCTTCAGCAGCGAGTAGCAGCGGCGACTTCTCGGCTCACCACCGCTCGCCCCCAGGTGATTCTGCAGGAAAAAGTCGAGAATGGCCGCCTCTCGGGTGGCCTGCTCCTCCCTGGCAGCGGCGGACAGGTAGACATCACCGGGGGAGCCACCACCACCACCCCCGGAGATGTCAACGCAGAGAACGGTGAGGTCCGACCAGCGGAGCACCACCTTGAACTCCGGCTGCTGGAGGGCGTGTCGGCCGGTGGCCAGCGGGAGCGCCAGCCTCAGCACCGCCATCACCTCCACGATTCGGTGCAGCTGAAATTCGTCCTTCGGCGGCGGTGGCGACCACCCGGCGGCCACGTACTCGGCGCAGGCGGCGGCGTAGGCGGCCGTCCAGGTGGAGTGGGCGGCCAGTACCTGCTCGTAGTGCCGCCCCACCGCCTGCACCTGCTTTTGTTTCTCCGCCGGACTGAGCCGGGCGTCGCCGAAGTTGGCGTTCAGCAGGAGGAGCGGCTTTTTGCCCTCGCGAATTTGGGCGTTCCGCAGCGCCCGCTCCAGCTCGTAGCGGCGCACCTCGCCGGTGCCATTCGGCAGGAGGTTGACGAAGGGCAGGTGGCGGTCGCGTTCCCGCTGCTCCAGGGAGACCTCCTCAGCGTAGACGTAGGCGGAGCGGTAGTCGACGATGAAGAGGGTGGACAGGCTGGCCAGGTCCAGCTCCTGGTCGCGCACTCTGATCCACTCTTCCCTTGGTCTATTTTGGGTTTTCTCATTTTCCCCCTCCTCCTTTCCCTCCTCCTTTGCTGCCTCATTCTTGGTGTTGCCCTGAAGAAAACCTCCGTCATCTTTTTCCGGTGTGTTTGAGGGGGTGGTCGACGATGATGATGGCGATGACGAGGGAAAAGTGGTCAGCTGCATGCGAGCGGTCTGCTTTCGGGCGGTGGACTTTTTGAATGAGAAGGAAAGTGAGCGGAAGTGGTCATTGGGAATGCCGATGCTGATGTTGCAGTTGCGTTTGCTTTGGCTGCAGCTTTGGCTGCTGCTGCTGCTGTCCTGTTGATATGCTCGTTTCATAGTCAAAAAAGACAGTGAGAGTGTATTGACAGAGTATGAGCAGCCTTTCTTTCACTGTTACTGTTACTGTTGCTGATGAAGTTGGAGTGTTTGTTGGCTGTTGGTTTCTGTTTCTGTCTAAATAGTTGGTAGAAAAGAGTACAAAAAAGAAAAAGAGAACAAACAAAACAAAGGAAAAATTGAAATCAGTTTTTTGAATGAAAAGACAGTGATATTTTTTTATTTATAAAAATTGTAAGTTTTTTACAAATGGTTAAAAGCATTTGGGTTAAAGGTAAAGCAAAATTAAGCAAAAAAACTAGCAGCAAAATAAATGAATAAATGTCAATTTGTTAGTCAAGCATATTTTCAACAAAAGTTTTAATTTTATTTTTTATTTTAATTTTAAATTTTTTGTTTAAAATCATTCAACAATTAATCAATGTGCGACTTACCAAAAAACTAAAAAGATCAAAATTATTAAAAAGTAAATTTGTTGAAAGTGTTTGATTATTTTGAAAAATGCTGCTAAAGCAATCTTTTGTTGATGTCCAATTGTGACTGGTAAAAAATGTAAGTTGATGAACAAACAAAAAAACTGTGCCAAAACAGCTGTATTTGATAATTAAGTTGTTTTTTGGGTTCAATGATGTGTTTGGTTTAAACAGTGTTTATCAGATGCAACTGCAACAACTGGAACAAAAATGACAAAAAAAACAGTTAGAAACAAGTTAGAAATCAGCAGCGGAAACACTTTAACAAAACAAAATTTTGCCAGAACCTTTCACTAGCTCGTTCAACGACCAAATGAAAAGTGTTTAGCAGTGTGCAGCTCTACTTTGCTGGAAACTGAACAAAAAACAAGGTGAAAATTGTAGCAAAAATGAAAAAGAGAGAAAAAAATGAGGGCTTGATTCTGCTGTTTTTTCCGATTCTGTCCCTTTCTGTCTGTCGTCTCACTTTTTAGTTGTTCTGATTTAGCCTGTGAAAATGATGCTCGGTTTCCTGTTTCTTTTTCCCCGTGTGTTCACTATGTGTTTTCGTTTAGTTGACTGGTGTTTTTTTTTGTTTTTATGTAATGTGTTTGGTAAACACATTACCTGCCTGCCTGTTTGCCACCCAGTCATCTTTCATTAAATGCAAACATCTTTGCACAGTTTTAAAACTATTTGTTTAAAAGAAAAATGCAAACAAAATTTTTTTCAATTTCAAAATTGAATAATTTGCATAAATTTTTTTTAAGTAAATAGTAGCAATTTTGTTGATTTGACTAATGCAAACACAGAAAAAAATTAAATAACTAAAGCAAGCCTAAAACGTGCAGTATTAAACACTAAATTGTGAACACACAAAAAACATTAACTAAAATAATTACCTTTGTAAATCAAAACCTGATGTAGAACTTGCATTCAATTTGCTGATAATGTTGAGATATGTGTGCGTTGAGAAAGCAGCAGCAAACAGCGTTTTTCTAAAACATAAAAAAAATTGATTATTAGAAATCACATTTTAAAGATTTCATATATTTTTACAGCAGTTTCAAAAATTTCAAAAGCAAAGTTGGTTAAACTTTTTGTTTTCAACGTTTGCATTCTAACAAAAAACCCGCAAATCTCTTGCGCCTGCTCTAAAGTCTGCTTTAAATCGTCAAACCGCAGAAACAAAAGCAGCTGCTGTTGCCGTTGTTCAATGTTAAGGGGCCATCCCCAAAACTAAACAGCAGACAGTTCTGAGACACGTGACCGTGAAATGGGAGCCAATCGGTGAAGCGAAACGATGCCGCCGATGACGTCCCAAAGTTCCTCACTCACTCACTCACTTTCTCTTCTCTTCTTGCACCGTTTTGTTTGGAGTTGCTGCAGTTGCGCTCTACTTCTCACTCCTTTTCTCTCTCTCTCCCTCTCCCTCTCTTATTAGCATCCTTCCCACCCGCCAGCTGGACAGTCACTTCCCGACAGTCAGCGAGAACTTCTCGACACCAGCTAATTCGACCAGCAAACCACAAACCACAAACCACATTTGCATAATAACGTTCTCACCATCATGGGCATCCTCAACTACGTGCTGACTACCTGCGTGCAGCCGTTCAAGTCGCCAACAGCGGCTAACCACAACAACAGCAATGCTAATAAGCGAGGTCTGAAGAAGTCGGGGTCTGCCCGCCTGCCCGAGGCCTCGCCGCCGCCCACCCCTCGGCGGGGCCGCCCCTGCCCCTACGTGGGCGGAATTCCCAAGCCGTACCGCCAGGGCCAGGACTGGGCCTCGTACGTGCACGGCTTCAGGACGGCGATGAACCGCTCGGAACGAGGACGAGTGGGGGCGGGCCAACCGGAGCCGGACTTTTACCCGTGGATTCTGCCCGTTGAGGGCCTTGGGTAGGTATCCTTTTGATAAGAAATTGACAACAAAAATTTGTTTATCAACTCCTATCTTTTTTTCCTTCCTTCAAAGCTCTCTGGAGGAGAGCCTCTCTGGTTCGGCCAAGCCGACCACCACCTCTGCAGCCACTATGGTGCATCTGCTGAAACGGGCCCAGTTCGACCCGTACTTTACCGACCGCTACGACCGGGCCTTCTGGCGCCGGCTCATTCCCCAGTTTCTCATTCTGGCCGGCTCGGGTCGTTTCAGCCTGAGGGGTCTCACCCGAGACCTCTTCTACCTGCTGCAGTGGAAGGCGGATCCGAGGCCGGAGCGGGAACGCTTCGCCCGCAAGCACCCCGCCCACATTGGCGGCTTTGACGGGGCCGCCTTCTACGCGGGCTACATTCGGGCGTTGCAGGTAATAAAAGAAAAAAATACTTTTAATACTTTCAATGTTTCTAGAACCATCTTTGAAAAGGTTTTAAAGGTACTAAATTTTCTCATTACTATTCCTTTATTTCATTTTTCCATTCCCTCTCTTTCTCTCTCTCTCTCTCTCTCTCTCTCTCTCTCTCTCTCTCTCTCTCTCTCTCTCTCTCTCTCTCTCTCTCTCTCTCTCTCTCTCTCTCNTCTCTCTCTCTCTCAGCGAATCTCCATGGGCCAGGCGCCGCCTGATCGTGACGCCCCTCGTTTGCCTGCTCCCGGCTGGTGGGAGAGCCTGCCCGACGCCCCGCCCAACTGGGAGGAGGAGCAGGCGATGCGCAAGGGCCTCGAGTGGGACTTTATTCCGCCCCTCTTCTACACCTTTGGCCGTTCACTCCTTACCAGCTCAGAGGAGGAGGAGGAGGGGGAGGAGGAGGATGAAGAGGAGGAAGAGGAGGAAGAGGAGGAGGAGGAGGAAGAGGAGGAAGAAGAGGACTCCACTGTGAACTTCACCGTGGACGAGCTGGAGCTGGACCCAGTGGAAGTGCAGGAGAAGGATCTCGAGGCTCTGCTCACTTCTGGTGTCGATGAAGAGGTAAAGGAAAAGGAAGAAGTAAAGGAGAAAGAAGAGGAGGAGGAGGAGGAAAAACCGGGACCTAGCCTTGAGGTGGACATTGCCAAAGATCATCATCATCATCAACAACATGTGCTGATGATTAAGCTGGCCTCGCCGGAGCAGGTGACGCTCCTCAACGAGCAGGTGATCAACCAGCGCGATCTGGAGAGCCTGCTGGCGCTGAAAAAGCCGTAGCAAGAATGAGAACTGAAATCAGCTCTTGCATGAAAATTGCAGCCACAGTCTATTCAATTCTAGACAAGTA